CCCATGGCAGTGTCCTCTATGAGTCCAGCTGGAGACCTAGAGCCCATGGCAGTGTCCTCTATGAGTCCAGCTGGAGACCTAGAGCCCATGGCAGTTTCCTCTGTGAGTCCAGCTGGAGGCCTAGGGACATAGCAGTGTCTTATGCAAGTCTGTATTAAAGATCTGCACTGGAAGTTGCAAAGGTCAGTGTGGAAGCTAGAAAGTCTTTCCAAGATGGGATGAAGGATCTGTGCCACAAGGCTGAGGGATCTATGCTGGGGCCAGGAAGTGATGCTCAAGGTCAGGCCCAGAGCTCCCCTAAAGAGAAGCACAGCCAACCCCAGTGACAGTGAAGACCCAAGGCCCTCTAATGATGAGAACAGCTGAGTTCATATTGGAAAAGCCAGCATGACAGGCTTCTCCAGGAGAATCAACAGTACACCGTCTTGCCCTCCAGTTCTGCTGTGCTGGTGGCAGCAACCCTTAGGGGGGCCATCCACACCCAGCATCATGCTGGTGCAGTTCATCTTGGTGTTACAAGTTAGCCATCAATCCACCACGGTGCCCCTCAGCAAGTGCACGCTTATCGGAACTAAAGAGTGAAATCAGTAACCTTTAGGAGAGTGAGTGGAACTGGAGAAGGTCATAAAGTCAAATAAGCCAGATTCAGAAAACTCAAAAGTCAACATTTTATTTCATATGTGGAAGCTAAAGCAGATAGAGAGAAAAAGTGAAACAATATGAACTAGAAGGGAGATGATTAGAGAAGAGGGAGAGGGGGAGGGGCAAGGGAAGAGGGAATGAAGAGTGAAAATAAAATGCATGTATGCCAAAATAAAAACTACTTTCCTATATAATGTGCACTAGTAAAATTAAGGCTAGAAAATTATATTTCTTAAAGTGATCCAGTATAGTGCCTCCAGAGAACTATTGAGTGTTTTTTACTGTTATTTCCCTGTTTAACACCCATGAAAAGGTTCTACAACTCACTGAAGTTAATGTACACTGTGCTTTTCCTGGTCCTTTTTTAGCTATCTCACTGGCAATTTGTGACACTTCCCAGCTGCTGTCTTTTTTTTTCAAAATTTTATTGATAAACAGCAATGAGACAGTTTCAAATCAAATCGGTAGTACAGTTTCAATAACTAACACACTGCATATATTCTTCTTAGTGGTTAATTGCTGTACAAGATGCGGACTTGAGATCCTATTTACAAACACCATTAGAACAAATCATTCTATTCAGTAAGAGAATGCAACTATATATCTATCCTAACCACTTTGAATACACAGATACAAAATGGACATTCATCTGTATCCCCTTTTTTGTTAGGTTCCGTTATTTGAATATTATAGGTGTGTAAACTCAGCAAAATATTCTAAAGGAGTCCAGTAGTCCATAATATCCTGACTCTTCCACTTCACTGGCAATGTCAGAAATTGTTGACCTGAGTCCCCCACAGCTCAACATAACGGCATGGTTTTACTTCTTATATTTCGTTTTTATACTTTTCTGCTGGATGGTTAAGACCAAGGTAAAGCAGGACCTATGCAACAAGAGTTTTAGCTTTTGGGTCTGATAAGTTCAGTGAAATCCCCTCAGGATTTATCCTGAAATCCTGTACCTCAGATTGTGGAACCTTTGTCAGTGTCAGCCATGGGGATGAGTCACGGCCATTGCTTGGCCAATGTCCAGCTGCTGTCTTTGCGTGTGTTCTCACACGTGCTACCCTCTCCTCAGAGGGCCCTCACAGATGCCTCTCTTTCTCTCATTTTAATATAATCTTGCAAGTTTCCTCAGAATGAACTGTAATACCTTTCTTAGTTGAACATATTTAGTAAACGTGCAAAATTCCTATCTCACTCCTGAAAATCAAGTTACTTTTTCAAGTACAGAATTCTACATGGACCTTTTCATAATCCTGTGAAATATTTATTCCCATAGTGACTTTTAATATGGTTTTTTTCTTAGGATACACTAATTCTGCTAAAGCAAAGGTAATGGCAAACTTGTTAAGGTATTCCCATATCAAAGAAGAATTCTTGATGAACTGATTTTTGTTTCTTCTGAAAGTAAATGCTAATGAAGACAGTGAGAAAAATGGACTGCACTGAAGGCATTATGCAGAGTAAATTATGTAGCAGGAAATCAATTATAATCTATCTATCTATCTATCTTTCTATCTATTTTCCATTTTATGTATTTGGTACAGGGTCTCACTATGCAGTGTGGATTTGTAGTGATCCTCCTATTTTCAGTCTTTCCATTGCTGGGATTACAAGTGTACACCACCACCATGCCTTGACTTGATAGTGGGCCCCGCATGCCTGAGGGTGGGCCAGTGCAGCATGTGGTGCAGAGATCGAACCCTGGTCTCCGCACCTGCCAAAGCAGGCACTTAGTCCGCTGAGCTATCTCACCATCCCAAAGCAACTATAATTTAAAACCTATCCTATAGCATTATTATTTGCAAGTTTTGTAATGTTTAACAATATTTCTCGCCATCATGTTTTATTGTTTAAAGCAACACATTCAAGTACATGAAATACCTTTTCCAGCATCTTTGTTTCCACAGAATGGGAATCTGTGCCCATTGTTTAGTACTTTAGTTTGATACCAGATTTGAGTTTAAAGTTTTAATCGTGGGGCCAAGAACAGAAAGCTGCTGGCTGGGTTGTCACATTTAATTTTTGTGTGCAAATACATTTTGTGAAAGTTATGTAGGATGAGCATAAAGTTCTGTGATATTTAATGTAGTGTCTGTCATCCTGTGTTCAGCAAGAAGAGGACAAGATGAGCGATGAACTCCGCAAAGAAGAGGAAACGTGGAAGGAGGAACTCCGACGGCACGAGGTACCTGCTCGTGCTCAATAGATGCATCCTTCCTCGCCGTTCAAGGGAAAATTGCTGTGCTTGCCGCGGGCATGTTTAAATAATATTGCCTAACATGTAGAACTTCATTTATTGCAGCATTAAGTTAATCATCAGACATTCTCCTTGAAATGGAATACGCTGAAAATAAGAATTAGCTAGTTCAGTGAGTTACAGAACTGTAATTTTCATTACAAAATTATGCCTCTATAATTTCTTCTAAAACTTAAGGAAAGATGCTAGTATGTACCTTGCATTATGCAAGGCTGCTGTGTTTCTTGGACACAGTTGTGTTAAATAATCCCTTAACTTAAGATGTCACTGATGATGTATTAGTTTTAGTTGTTCTACTCCACAGTTTCTAGGTAAAATTACTTTAGGTTATCACAAATGTAAGTAGATACAGCCACTAGTATCCTGTTGTCCAATTAAATAATATTATCTTTCTTTTTATATTTTCAAAACTTTTCTAAAATGATGGTTTTTCTTCTGTATATATTTAAACTTAAAAATTCATTAGGGATGAGAAGAGACATTTTAATAAGAATAACAAGAAAAAGACTAATAACTCATTCCTGTATGATCCAAATAGAATTCAAATGCTAGATTTAGTGGAAGCACTAAAATACCTATAACTATGATTCATGAACAATAGATAAGCAGGTCATATGAAAAATGAAGTAAAACCTATGAGATATGATGTATATGTTCTATAGTTTAAGTATTTAATATCAAAATTAAAAATTAATGGATAAGTTTTCCCCTTCAGTTCTACTTAAACTTGCCAGTACATGGAACTCTTCCAATAGGCTATGTCTACATGCAGGAACAGAGAGTGAAAAAATAGGAAACAGAGAAAAGAACATAAGAAACATGCATACATGCTGAGCAAAACACAGAATGTGTAGATAACCACCTTGATAGGAGGGAGCATATGGAGCAAAAGCAGTGGGTAAGGAGGCTGTGTCTGCAAAGGTTTGAATTGTTTTACTGAGTGAACCTGAATATTCAAAGATGATTGGTTATCTCCGGGTAATATATATGAAAGTAAAATCATTACTGGGAACTTAGCAATAAATCTCTTGACATGCAAGACACAGGGAAAAAAATTATCTTACCATCCGAAGATAAAGGATCAGAAATTACCTAAAAGGATCAGAAGTAAGACCTAGAGCTGATGGCAACAACAAAATGACAGAAAGCGAAGGTAGTGGGACAGAAGATTACATGTCCCTGGTTTCTTGTTATCTCCGTGGTTGGTGGGTGCTGAGTCTTCCCTGACATTTGGACTCAACACATTTCCCAGAATATATATTAACAGAGATGTGAACAATTTTTGAATTGTTAGGATTCCTCAATCTATGCACAGTTCAGAATGCTTTTATTTTGCTTTCAAAACAGAATGATTAGTTTATTCAGGTATATAATCCAGTTTTATTACTATACACATACATACATACATACATACATACATACATACATACAGTTCGAAGATGTGACTCTATTGTGCATTTATTTTTGCTGATTGTAAATTTGGTACTTTCTTCTTACATTCTTTGGACCTTTAGGATTTTTACTTTTATACATTCAGCTGCACATATTTATTGATATGCTATTATGGGTCAGATATTCTGTAAGAGTTTATAATATAACTGTTAATAAAACAGAAAATATTCCTTACTTTCTTTTGATATTTAAATATTGTTGGAATCTATCTTAATGTGTTTCATGTGTGTTATGTATATGTGAGAGAGCACAGCATAAACTCTTGCCTTATTTTGTTAATTTTGATTTAGAAACTTTCCTATTATTCTCCCTGCAGGTTTTCTCAGTTCTATCTTAGAGTTCTTTGTTCATCTTTCTTTACTTTTGAATGTCTTTTTCATATAGATCATATATTTGTTGGAAATACTTAATATTGAAGTTTTTCTTTAGATAACTAGCCATTCACCCATTATACTTTGATTTTTGAGTGAGTAACATTTTTATTTGAACACCTGCATCTTATTTTCATAAGTTTTTCTTGTCTAAACATTTGTTCTGAACAGTTATTTTCATTTGAGTTTTGTGTAATTTAATAGTTTTTTCTCAGAAATTGGTTCTTCCTTCTACGTACTTGATGTATCATCCTATATCCTTTGTGTTAGTTTCCCTTAAATATTGACTGAAATTTTGTTGCTCTCTTTCCTTTTTTATAGAATTCTAGTGACAATGGTATTTTTTCCTCACTTTCTGTCAACTCATCTCATTTTTCATGTTTCAGCTAACTTGAGAATTGGGAGGGGAAGATTTGTGAGTGGGCTGGTTCTTTATTGCTTTGTGTGCACTCCCAGGCCTTCTTGGTAGGATATGGCAAGATAATTCCACAATTCTAAAATCCACTGCCAACTCAAACTTCTTTATCAGACATCCTATTTTGGGCAGTTAGAATCCATTTCTCTTACATAATTTTTGCCTTGTGTTTTTCTCTCTTTTTTTCCTGTGTCATTCTGATACAGTATACTTTCCATCTTCAAAGAATTCCTTAATTGAAATCTGTGTGACTTAGTATTCTCCTAATGATATTTTAAAGTAGATTGCAAGTTAACAATATGATCTTTAAAAAAATAATAGGGCCAGGGAGATAGCTCAGCGGTCTGTGCACCTGCCTGGCAAGTGCAAGGACCAGGGTTTGATTCCGCTACTGCATGCTGTGCAGGCACTGGAACCCCAGGGGAGCTGTTCCAGCACCATGACCAGGCGTGGTGGTGCACACCTGTAATCCCAGCACTGGGGAGGCTGAGATAGGAGGATCAATACAAGTAACAGCTACATGGTGAGACCCTGTACCAAATACATAAATAAATCTTTTAAAAGAGGTAATACCTTTTAAAATAAATAACTAAGGGCCAGTGAGATAGCTCAGCAGACTAAGCACCTGCTTTGGCAAGCTCAGTGACCAGTGTTTAATCCTTGGTCTCACATACTGTGCCATCCCCACCCCTGAAGTACACTGAGCTGGTAGCTAAGCTTGGACATGGTGGTGCATGCCTGTAATCCCAGCTCTGTGGAGGCTGAAAACAGGAGGATCACTATGAGTCTGAGCTGCATAGTGAGACGCTATAAAATGAAAATGAAAATAAAATAAAATAACTGGTTCCTCTGAGTAAATTTGTAGTAATTTCATTATCACTTCAATTTTAGTATTTGTTTTAATCTATTAGATAAAATTCTGATACCATTATATATTTAGTTTATACTGACTGGTACTTATCTTACTTTATTTTAGGAATTCATTAAAAATTTGCAGCTACAAATGGAAGAAGAAAGAACAAGATTGAAAAACTTACAGGAGAAAGAGGAAATGCATTTGTTAGAACGTCAGCATAATGCAGCTGTAAAAATTCAAGCTCAATACAAAGCATTTGTAACCTACCAGAAATACACCCCGATCATAAGAGAACGAATAGAAGTTAAGAAAAGGAAAGCACAAGAATGGAAAGAAAGGGAAGCAAAAATACAACAAATGGTGGAAGAAAAGCAAAAAAGTTTAGAAGAGGAACAAAGGATAGCAGAAGAGATAGAAAAGAAAAAGCAAGAGGAAAGGAAAAAGAGAGAAAGAGAATATGAAGAAAAGAAGAATATCCTACGGCAAGAAAGAGAAGAACTACTAAACAAAGAAAAATTAAAATTAAGAGAAAATACAACCCAATGGCTAACGATGAGTAGTACATTAAAGAAGGGAGACTATAACGCCAAACATGTAACTAGTAATGATACATCAAAGAATAGGAATGATTCAGTGAAACTGTTCATGGATGAAAACTTAAAGAAACAGGATGTTTCCTTTTGTTTACTTGAGGAATCAAATAAGAGACAAGATATAGAAAGACAGCTTATACTGAAGGAATCAACACAAGCACAGTTAAAATCAAACCACACAATTTTAGCAGAATTAAAAATGGCACAAAAAAGTGAAAGCTTAGGGAAACAAACTTCTGAAAACCCAGTTGAACAAGAAATAAGAGATGAAAACATAAACAAAAACACTAAATTAGAAAGCTTGGACGAGATACTTTCGGTGGAATTAAAAACGGAAGAAAAAAGTGCCAGCCTAGAAAATAAACAAAGTTCTGAGAAATCTATTAAGCGAGAAATAGAAGATGCAAACTTCGACCAAAAAGTGACATTTAAAAATTCAGACTTGAAAGAAAATGTTAATGAACAAGAATTAAAGCTTCAAATGCCAACAGAAGACAGTGTGGACCATGCCATCCATGAGAATATTAGCAAAGAAATTCAAGTAATATTAGAACACAATCAAGAAGCAACTGAGGTAAAAAGTGAAGCACAGAAAAAAATCAAAGATAATCAACTGATAGTGGTACAAAACATAGAAAATGAGATAGTAGAACAGAATGGATCAGTGAATCAAGAGGACAGTGCCTCAGTTATAGCAAAGAAACAAAAAGTACTACCAATAAATTTAGAAAATTCTGAAACTGTACTACAAGAAAAAAGAATTGATTCAAAATCCAAAGAAACTGAAGAAAAGGTGCAAGGAAATGCTCTAAGTAGTGACATTGTAATTTTTAACACTTCTGTTGCTATTGTAAATATAGAAGGCAAAGTAGACAAACAAGACATTTTTGGTAGACCTGCGCCTTGTGGAGACGTGGGTGGTTATGAAGCAGGCCATTCCTTGGTGACCAAAGAAGTAAATTGTCCTAACTATGATCCTAAAGCAATTCCTGAAGAGTGCTGGGAAAATAGGGCTAGACACAAAAGTACCATGGCCTGCTCTGTATCCGAGTCAACACTTTTATCCGCTATTGAGGAAAAGAGACTAGCTTGGATAAAATCATGTAAACCTTGGTTTGAAATTTGCAAGCAAAACCAACAAAAGAAAATTGTTCAAAGAAAGAGACTTGTGAAGTGCCCAGTCAACAGTATGCCCCCTTTGAATGCATTAGAAATTCTTGGTTGTGGCTCTTGGAATAATTTACAGCAGGTATTTCTAATTTTGAAGTACTTTTTTCCATATATATCACTGAACTTATTTAGAATTTTAGTAGAGGGCATCTTTTTTATAGAAGAATTCTATCCCTTAGCCGATAAAGTTATTGATGAAATACTGCTCCATTGAGAGGGGATGTATTTTTAAAATCTCAACACAAATTATTTAGTGCATTGTCTCCCTAAGGACTAGAAAGAGCTCTGGGATATAATCTTGAGGCCTATGCTTAGGGGCCTTGTGAGCATTAGTTATTGAACCTGTGAGACTGGCAGCCCCTGGGAACCTAGGGTTAGAATTGGGTTGTTTTGATTTAGGCTACCACACCACGTAGCGGCTTCTTGGAAAATGAAGCGGATTTGTTTGTGACCACTGCTGTGGAAGAGTAGCTTCTGTAGTAAAAGAAAGACCAGCAGTCCTGTAAAGAATCCCAGTTACCTGCTCCTCTTCTGCACTAAGGTGGCTCGCATGTGTCTTGAAATAGTTCTAGTCAAGTGCTACCAGTTTTCCCCTGTTATGGAGACCACACTTTCAACCAGGATTGAGACGGAAGCTAACAAATGTGTGGAGAAACAGAAAAGCAAATTAAATTGTGCAATATTAGAAGTATTTTATTATTAAAATACCTATATTTATCTAAGTCTTGAAAGTCACATGAATTAAATAACTTTCATATAGTCTTTAATTTTATTTTTTAATTTTTAAAAATTGTTTATTGGTACATTTTAGATATGCATAATGCTATATATGATTATCATACATACTAATAATATGATTATTCATCATAGGGAATTTGTACCTGTACATGATATGCAGTCATAATAATGGACATTACTTTATTCATTTACTCAGCAAATGCTAATTTACCCACTGTGATTGATCAGTACTTACTGACAGACTGAAAGGACAGAAACAGAAATCCCAGTCTTTGCCTTTTTGGAATTTAGATAGATACACATATACCATATTATTGCTTCATAATTAAAAGTAGAATTTCAGGGTATTCTGCATGAAGGTAGTGAAATGTGAAATTTCGAGAGACTTTTGGGACAGGAAAGAACAATCCAAGAAATAAAAACAAGAACATTCCTCTAACCATTTTCTAGTTCCTAAGCTATGTATTTGCTGTATGTATCAGTTCTGTAAAAGTACCCAAAGGGTCTCCATGTGACGCAGGCCTATAATCCCAGCACTTTGGGAGGCTGAGACAGGAGGCTCCCAAGTTTGGATCCTGCCTGGCACTCTAGGGAAACTTTGTCCCAAAATATAATAATGATGATGATGATGATGATTATCATAATAGTCCTGGGGATGTAGTTCAATGACAATGCCCTGGCTTCAATCCCTAGTGACACAAAGAAAAAAACCAAGATTTCCAATTGCCCTCTTATATTTTTCCTTGGGTCATGCTACCAGTAATCTTTTTTTTTTTTTTTTTTAATGTATTTAGTACCGGGTCTATAGGGTCTCACTACACAGATTGGACTAGTGATCCTCCTGTTTTTAGCCTCCCAAAAGCTGGAATTATAGGCTCCCGCCACCATGCCCAGACTCTGTCACCATCTCAGTGTACACCAGGGGCAGGGCCAGCACAGCATACCGGGGGATCAAACCCCAATCCCTGTGCCTGCCTAAGCAGGCACTTCAATCGCTGAGCTATCTGGCTGGTCCCTGTGATCATTGTTTTTGATTTGTACTTTCCCTTAGATGTTGTTTCAGGCTTTCCATATGATTCATCAGCACTTGCTTCATTTATAATAAATTCCCCTGTGAATATTTATTAGAGGTAAGCATGAATGAAAGTTTCATGATTAACAAATACTTGTTGCAAAAATACAACTGAGGTTAGTGAAAGAATAGCACCCTTCCCTTTAACTAAGTTTCCATTCTGTCCAGGAGAAGATCTGGGCAAGTCAAGACACAAGAGCCACTTCCCATTGCTACTTTTTCTCTTGCTCACTCTCTGTTCTTTCCTGGAACTCTTGTTCTCTTATTTAAAGTTTCTTTCTTTTACTTCTTTTTTGTTTAGTTTTTGATACAGGGTCTCACTCTGGTTTAAGCTCGGTTTGAACTCACTGTGTAGCTCACACTGACCTACTAGCAGTGACTCTCCTGCCTCAGCCTTTCCACTGTTGGCATTCCAGGCTTGTGCCACCATGCCTCACTCTTTCTTTCACTTCTTAAAGCAAGGCTCAGCAAGCTAAAGTGAATACAGTTCTCCTGAGGATTTGTTGAAATGCTGATTTTGATCAAATAGGTCTCTTGATTAAGAGGGCACTGTTCAGTATTTTGAGTAGAGTGTCCCACAGTACCCTGTCATTCTCTCTTATGACTCCAAGTAATGATTTCCAATTTATAATTGCTCCTTGAAACAACAATTGTATATTATAAAGATGAAATATGAATCAGTCATATGAATGCTGAAATGTTGTACAATACCATCTTTTGCCTGCAGACAGTACCTAAAATGATTCTTTTTATCAAAACAGACAAACAAGCAAGAAAAGCTTTTTAAAAATGTTTTCACTCATCATTGCCACTGACTCCTTACTTTGATTCTCTATTCTCTTTGCTTCAAATTGTTTTCCTCACCCCGACTGCCCATTCTCGTGGGTTACTCAGCAAACACTGTATTCTGGAAAAGTGAGAAACAGTTTTTCCTTGTAATTAACTTTTGGAAATACAGTATCATATATATGATTGACACTCTTCAGATTAAACTCCAGAGTACTAAGTACAGATTTACTTAAATATACAACAACTTGAGGCATTTGCTACACAATCAACTATCAAAGGTGGTGTGGAGAAATTTATATGATTAAATAGAAAATTCATTCATGATCTTTTATGAAAATATAGCTTAAGGCAGTTCATTTATTTGTGAGAAAGTTAGCCAACATTTGTTGTGTTCTAAATGTAATTTTCCAAGTTGGCCATATATCAGATACAAATAATTACCACTTCTGTGTTAACCTTAATTTTTGGAGTATAAAACAACAAAATGTGTGCTGCAGTTAATGTCATGAATGTATCAATAAATAGTATAAAATTTATTTTAATATGTATTTGGAAAAATCTAAGGTGGTGTAAAGATTATATTGCTTTACCACAAGAATTTTAGAAAAACCTTTTCAATGTAAAGGAAGATTTACTAAGAAACTGATACTCAAAAATAATGCTGCTAACAAGAGTGTTGTAGCAATTATTATTCATGTGGTGTAATGAAGTGAAACTGCATAAATTGCCACATAATAAATAACTAGAATTTAAGTGTGCTTGTATAATTGATTAAAAGCAGTGTGTTATTAAATCATGCAAATATATATCATTATAATGTGGAATAGCATTTGTTACTGTATAGCTGAAATTCATCTTTATGTGTTCAATTCTAAATGATGCTTTCATCTCCTTTTGCAGATCTGGTTTTCCAATTACAGAACTTGGATTTGTTTACACACAGACTAACGAGGCAGTGTCTAGAAGTAATTGCCACACAATAGATTGCCATTTTCTTTCTAAAAAAAAAAAACATTAGAAATAATTTACCCCCAAATTGTTTAAAATTATGAGACATTCCTAAGATAATTATTAAAGTGGAAACTCTTACTTGAAGTTATAAAATATATTATTTTTTCCCCTTAAAGTGAAGTGGATGCTAAATTCCCTCTTTGTGTCTCCATGACCACATGGTCCTCCGAGTCATTTTACTATCCAGGATATCCAAGATACTCAGGCCAGATCGTAAGCAATGATGTGGTGTAATCCTGGAAGGGATGCCAAGAGCACAGAAAACAAAGTGGACAAAAAGTGTTTTACTTTGAACTTGTATTGGCAGTAAATGATTGAGTTGTCTTTCCATGCAGAACAAAAAGAGACCAGAGAGCCTTATTCAAACCGAGTTGCTAATAAACAAGATCTCAACTATAATATTTTCATAGATGATTTTTGAAGATGTTTCACACGGCCAGTGCATCTTACATTTTATTGATGTTTCTCCACTGTCCTTGTGTTCTCAAGGTGACAACCATTACATTTCAAGATCTGCCTGGCTGTAGTCTCTCCACGTTAGCTGAGTGTGTGAATCTTCAGTTTCTCTCGCTTAGACGCTGTGGATTAACGTCTTTGCATGGTTTGAGTAACTGCAAAAACCTTAGATACATTGATGCACAGGTATGTCTTCCATTTACTTTGAACTTACAATAAAATACGGATGTATTTGTGTTTGCACTTGAGAATAGCCTTGAGATAACCATTATTAAATATCCTATAATTCAGGATCTAAAGAAATCAAGAGCCTATGTTTGGGAGAAGAAAAGAGTAGATGAATAACTAAATTCCTTGGTATGTTTAAACAACCACCATCTCCTTTGCTTATAGTTCATGTGGATCATGAACTGAGGCCAGGCCTGGCTGGGTGTTTCTTCTGCTCCATATTAGGGTGATTGAGTCTCTTATGTAACCTCAGTCAAATGGAAGCTAGGTTGAGAAGCTCCAAAATCTCTGTTGGTCCAACATCTCTATTGTTTGTCTGGTGCATGACAGGTATATATGGAGACTGAATTCTCTCCTAGTATTTTGGGCTATTTTTCCAAAATGTGCAGATCTCAAAATTGAGTATTCCAAAGGACAAACTCCAGTATGCAAGTGCTGCTCAAGCATCTCCTTGCATTATGTGAGCTGAGGTTTTTTGGCAAGGTGTGAGTTCATGGGGAAAAGAAATATTAGGACTGTGAAGTTTATTTCCACTGCCAAAGGAACTGCATGTCACAGTCTCCTTTCTGACTTATAATGGATTCACATCTTTCCTACTTGCAAAACACACTCATGTCCCAAAGGCTCTAGGAGTCTCATCATTTATTTATGAAAAAGTTAGCCAACATTGGCTATGTTCCAATTGTCTTTTTCCAAGTTGACTGTATATCGGATACACAGAATTACCATTAATTTTTGGAATGCAAAATAGCAAAATGTGTGCAATTGTTGTCATGAATATATCGATAAAGACTATAAAATTTATTTTACATATGTTTGAGAAAATCAACTTTTGGCATTAGATGCATGCTAGAAGCATAGGTTCCTTTCATCTAAATTAGGTCTAGATAAAGATGAAGCTCTGTGTGAAATCCTTAGATACATAGTTTTCTCAACTCATGTGATCTGCAAAATAACGTGAAAAGTTGTATCCCACGCCTCTGCCATCTCTTGGTGATTTACTACAATAGTTGTTGCCATTCAAAACTGGAGAAGCAAGAATGAAATGATAATCACTCTTGTTCACTTAAGTTGTTCTGTGTATATTGCTGCATTGTCCTCTGTATTATTTATTATTTTTTAAAGAGAATACAAAATAGTTTTAAAAAATTAGAAATGATACAGAATTTTAGTAAACAAAATTATAGGAGCTCAACAATGGCTGTTATATTCCATAATGCCCTCTGTATTTTTCATTTTCAAAATACGTTATTAAATACATTTAGAAATTCTTTATTTGCTTACTTAATATTTTAATCCAGATAGTGTATAGTTTGCATGATTATTTTAGAGGTTAGATATTCATATTTTCATTTGGAGATCATATCTTACTTCCTCATTTTGCAAATGTTAAATATGTCATTAATAAGCCATTGAAATAAAATTTATTGCATCTGTTCTTTAGGAAAACCATATTGAGACTATCAATTGTGAACAATTGGAAAATCTCTCTGTAGTTCTTCTTAATAAAAATCAACTGACTTCTTTTCATGGTTTGGATGGCTGCACTAATATCCAAAATCTTGAACTTTCACATAATAAAATCACTCGACTTGGTAAGAAAAATGAATTTTAATATTTAACTATTTATTTATCATGATTATATTTTGTATCATTTGATCCTTTTAAAGAATAGACCAGCATCACTAATGTGCAAAGACCATATTAAATTTATTCAATCCTATTTCATCCAGATTAAAAAAAATAATTTTTAATGTATTTAAAAGGGTTACATCCCATATCTGGCAAGTGAAGAGTTGTTACCAGCACATTCTTTCCTCCTGTATCTAGAGGAACAATCCCCTGGTGAGACTCAATTAGATGCCATGATTTCAAAGATGCTGTGCTTCCCACACTTCTCCGCAATTTTTCCTAGTAAATATTTCCTAGTAAAATGTTTCGGCTCTACTCTCTTGGGTTCCTATGTCACTTGGACCAATCTTTCCCCCTTAAGATACAGATAATAACAGCACATGACAAAATTCATTAAGTAGAATATCCCAAGCGTCTTGGTGCCTGCCTCACCATGTCTTCATCTTCCTTGAGACCTTCTAACCCAAAGAATTCAGCAATGAAAATGACTTGTGAATTGAATTTTAATCCTTCTGTTTCCTAGAAATATTCTTGCCACTTCTGGCAAGGATTTTACTTCATCACTTGTCACTTGCCTTGGGTCAGTGTTTCTCCCATTTTTCTGTGCCTTTCCTCTTCTCTTTGCCTTATCTCTCTTATCCTTTGTCTTCAGGTTTTGTGAAAAGTTCCACTCCCAGTGTCACCCCCGCCTGTCTCTGATCTTTTTTACTTCAACTTCCTTCTAATTGTTTCCACTTTAATGATTCTCAAATGAAAGATTCATTGTATTACTTCCTGGCTGGCTCAAAATCTAGGCCTTGGAATTCTCGTAATTGTAGCAATGCTCCTAGTGGTTTTTTTTTTTGCCATGCTATGGACTTACCGTCCTGTCCTGTCACTGAAATTGTTCCATTAAACCCTTATCCCTCATAAATGGAAGGCAGCTCTAAAGTCCTCGTTAAATTTGAATTTGGCCACTTTAGGGAGAATTCTTCCTAAGTAGTTGTTTCTACTTTGTATTAGTCACCACTAGTGGACATAGAGTGTTTACTTTTATTGATGCTCTGATAGGATATTGGGTGTAGCTGGTGAGCATAGGAACCTTTCTTTATGAAGTTTTTCATCGACCTTTCATCTAATACTTTCATACATGGACCCAGCATCAGTTAATTCACTAGAAGACATGGAAAATGAATTTTCTGATTTTATTGTGTCCACCAGGTCTTGTCAGGGATTCTGTGATTAATTAGAACTATTTGATTACCTTGAAATATTTTGTAGAGGAAACGTAAGGATGAGGGCTTATTTTTGCACTGATAAATTTTGAAATAAAGTCTTAATGGCTCTTTTTCCCAAATATGTATGGGTCTTTACTTTGTTTCTCTGTTTTGTTTTGTTTTTTTTTAAATCTTTGTTTTTTAATCTGTTCTCCCTTGTTTGTGTGTGTTATTATGAACTCACATTTTTATGCTTCAAAAATATTTTAGTCAGTTTGGTTACTATTGTTTTGATACAGTTTATATAAATTTGAATTGCAGATACCATATACTAATATATAATTCAAATTAACTTCTTAAAATTTACATTTGTATTCATTTTCTTATTATCCATAGTGTATGTTAAGAATAACATAATCAGCTGGGCATGGTAGTGCATGCTGTAGTCCCAGCACTTGGGAGGTTGAGGCAGGAGGCTTAGCATAGGTTCAAGACCAACCTGGGATACATAGTCAGTTCAAGGTCAGCCTGCACTACAAAGCAAAACCCTGTCTCTTTCAACAAACAAAACAAAACAAAACACAAAACCACTTGTGTTTTATCCATGAAATAGCTTCATAATATCAGTGCTAATACTACTGATATATATTATATATTTATATATATCACATAATATATATTTATATATTCCTTTTTCGGACAGGGTGTACGGGGTGTACAGGGTTATCACTGCGTAGATCGGATTCGTAGTGATCCTCCTGTTTACAGTCTCCTGAGTGCTGGGATTACAGGTGCGCACCACCACACCCAGTCTCAATGGCTGTCTCAGCGTGTCCCCAGGGGCGGGGCCAACACAGCAGGCCTGCTTGCAGATGTTTTAATCCACTGAGCTATTTGGCCGGCCCCCTAATGTTTTACAGACAATAAAACTTACTAAGTTCAATAAAAATCAGCCCATAAGAGGAAGGAGCACATTTGCCAAGGTTTCAGTACCTGGTTGCGTGAGCTTTTGACTTGGACCAGTCATCAAGTGGAAACAGCACAGAGGAAGGGTGTGGGGGAAGCTGCTCTCAGCATGGCAGCCGGGAAGCAGAGAGAAATACAGAGCAGGTGTCAGGGAGCATGCATTCCTCCCAGGGGTACTTCCTTCCCCTACAAGGCCTCATCTCATAATGTTTCCACCCCTTGTAGCTCCACTGGATTATGAACCCCACACAGGATAAATTCATTGATGGTTTTAGCGCCCAATAAGCCAAGCCATCTTCTACGAAGCCCCACTCTGAATTCTGTGGCACATGTGCTTTGACAGGGCATTTGCAAGCCAAACCATATATGTATTTTCCCAAAGCAAACTTTTGTTTTGCAAACATTAGCAAAGGCACAACTTAAAAAATGTAATTTTTACATGAGGGATAGAATACAATATTTATACATACAGATCTGATTTATTTCACTTATGAGTATGGTCTTTAGTTGCATGCATTTACCAGTGAAATCTTCAAGTTTATCTTTCTTTATAGCTGACTAAAACTCCATTGTATGAAAATACTACATCATTTTTTGAACATTCCCCAAGTGAAGGGGAATTGGGGGAATTCCAAAAATTAACCGGGAAGAAATAAGCCGCCAAAAAAGGAAAAAAAAAACAAAAACCAAAAAAAAAAACGGGAAAAGGAAAAAAAACGCCCAAAAAGAAAAAAACGGGAAGGAAAAAAAGAAAAGAGAAAGAAAAAAGGGGAAAATGTGTATGTATATATACACCAGATAGCTAAGATAATTGTATTACTACTTTCTATTGTTTAATTGAAAGGTACAGTTAGTGTTTACATTTTTTGATCAATTTTGAATACCTATATCTGGTAATCTGAGCAACTACTTTGAAGATAAGAATATTCAATATAAAAATTATTATTGATTTCCTATCTTATTTTGAAATTCTGTACTGTCCTTATTTTTTAAAAAAATTTATTCTCCTTAGAATAAAAAAGGAAACATAGATTTTTAAATATTCTTTTGTTCATTCATGTATTTTCCTGTGCTGTAGAACATTCCCCTACAACTTATCCTAAATGTAAATACTGATTTAAAATTCTACTGTAAAATAAACATGACAATTAATTTTGTTGCTGAGATGATGGCAAACGGACACTATGTTCTGAGTTTGTTTGGTACTGGGGGTCAAACTCAGAACCTTGCACTTGGCAAGCAGGCGCTTTTGCCACTGAGCTGTCTTCCTAGTCCCTTACTGTGTGTTCTTATGCTGGAACACATTAAAGCCAACTTGGAGGGAAGAAATTTTAAAAACGCTATATATTAAAAAAACTGCATGATTTCCCATCTTCATTGCCAACAGTACTATATGGGAATTTATATAAGTACTAGGTTTCCTGAGATAGAATATCTACAAGATTTATGTGAAAACTGCCCTAATAGTAATCGAGGTGCTCGAGGCTTCTCTGTCATTATGGAGCAGACCAAGTAAAAGGCTTCTTTGCTGTCTGTTGGTTATAATGAAGACACTATTTATGGAGTGTGAGACGAGTACGTATGGGAGAGATTTTCTGAAGAGCAGTAGGAGTCTGGTTTCCATCCTTGGAAACTGCTTGTAGGTTCTGGTGGGACTAAGCGAAAGGCACAGAGATTTTTTTTCTTTCAGTGATATATTGATGCTCAGAACTTTCATGAAGGGGCAGCAAGATGGATTTGTGTTTATAAGTTAATGTGCTTCTTTCCCAAGGTAAAATAATTCTTAAGGAGTTGAAATAAAGTTGGAAGCAGCACGAGAATATTTCATGTTATTTTAAATTTAGCGTGTTCCTCGTCTTTGCTCAACTATTCTCACTGCATTTAATATTCAGTGTTAGCTGTAATCTTTTCATTAGAAAATATTAACTGATATTTTTATTTCATTCTTGTATTGCATTTAATAGTGAATGAGAATAATGACTTAGTAGGTTGAGGACAACTACTGAAGTCAGAATATGAAATAAAGTATAATTGTAGATGGTAGAGACACTGAAATATCTGTAGTAAACTTCAAATTATATATATATATATATATGTATATATATGTATATCTTTAGAACCTTTTAATAACATAGCTTGTTTTAATTCTATAAATTAAAAGTTTTAAAGTTAATAGCTTTTTGTTATTACTAGCTTTAATAAACACATGCTATAGTTCTGCAGACATTTTTAATTCTTTTTAGTTTTAATTTAAATATTAATTAAAAAATTATCTCAACACAGAAACTGTAAGAGACCTACATGTTGAAGTATAGATTATTTTCCAGTCAATTAAGTTAAGATACAATAGTATATAGTATTTTTAGGCAAATTGTTATACAGGACACTGTTATGTGTCTGATTTATTTAATGTATTTGGTGCAGGGTCTCACTATGCAGCTCGGGCTCATAGTGATCCTCCTGTTATCAGCCTCCCCAGTGCTGGGATCAAGGTATGCACTGCCGTGCTTGGACTTGATGGCTGGCTCTGCACGCCTGGGGACTGGGCTGGCGCAGCATATGGTGCTGGGGATTGAGCCCCAGTCCCTGCACTTGCCTAAGCAGATGCTTAGTTCACTGAGCTATCTCACCAGCCCTTGTTGTGTCTGTTTTTTTTTTTTTTTTAATTCTTTTAGTGAGTTTAGGGTAGGGTATACAGGGTGTACAGGATCTCACTACATAGATCAGGCTCGAAGTGATTCTCCTGTTTTCTGCTTCCCAAGTGCTGGGATTACAGGCGCGTGCCACCACACCCAGTCTCA